CTAGCAGACACACACACTAACACTCACTCTAACACTCACACTAACACACACACTAACACCTCACTAGCAGACACACACACTAACACTCTCACTCTAACACTCACTAGGCAGACACTCACTCTAACACTCACACACTCCAACACTCACTAGCAGACACACACACTAACACTCACCTCTAACACTCACACACACTAACACTCACACTAACACTCACTAGCAGACACACACACTAACACTCACTCTAACATTCACACACACTAACACTCACTCTAACACTCACACACACTAACACTCACACTAACACTCACCAGCAGACACAATCACTAACACTCACTCTTAACACCACACACACACTAACACTCACTCTAACATTCACACACACTAACACTCACTCTAACACTCACACACACTAACACTCACACTAACACTCACTAGCAGATACACACACTAACACTCACTCTAACACTCACACACACTAACACTCACACTAACACTCACTAGCAGACACACACACTAACACTCACTCTAACACTCACACACACTAACACTCACACTAACACTCACTAGCAGACACACACACTAACACTCACTCTAACACTCACACACACTAACACTCACACTCACCAGCAGACACACACTAACACTCACATTAACACTCACACACACTAACACTCACACACACTAACACTCACACACACTAACACTCACACACACTAACACACACTAACACTCACACACACTAACACTCACTAGCACACACACACACTAACACTCACTCTAACACTCACACACACTAACACTCACTAGCAAACACACACACTAACACTCACTCTAACACTCACACACACTAACACTCACTAGCAGACACACACACTAACACTCACTCTAACACTCACACACACTCAACACTCACTAGCAAAACACACACACTAACACTCACTCTAACACTCACACACACTAACACTCACTAGCAGACACACACACTAACACTCACTCTAACACTCACACACTAACACTAGTTTTTTGTTTTTTTAAAATTTAATCCCCCCAGCCTCCTTACCTTTTGGAGTGCTGGGGGGATTCCCTGGGGTCCAGTGGTGCTGCTGGGCTCCTGGGCGGGTGGCTGGTCGGGCAGGCAGGCGGGCAGGCAGGCGGGTGCGCGAGGGAGCACTCAGTGCTTCCTCTTCAGCTCCCTCGCGCGCCGCGTAGGGATGCCGGCGCCGGAAGATGACGTCATCTTCCGGCTCCGGTATCAGTGCACCTGCCTGCCCGCCTGCCTGCCCGACCAGCCACCCGCCTTCCCTGTGGGTACATACCGGGTCGCAGGGGCGGCCGGGCCCCCTGGTGGGCCGTGCCCGGTCGCAGCCGCGACCCCTGCGACCCTGGTATGTACGCCACTGACTACAGCATGATACGTATGTATAGTGCATTTAATATGTGTTTAGTGCATGTAATGTGTGTATTGCAAATAGTGTGTGTAGTGCATGTAATGTGTGGGTAACCGCTGCTGGTTCGCCTATTTACCACTATAACGTCTTAAAGCATAGAATTTAGCAGGGCTAACCCTACAGATATCTTAGTTATAATATATTATGGTTAGTAAGAGTCTCTCTATATAAAATATATAAATAATTGAGAATACAATATAAAATATAAAATAGGAAGCAATAACGTTTTGTCTTTTTAAATATTTTATTAAATAAAAATAAAACATATCAGAAATCCCAAGTCTCCCATGTTTAAGCTGCGTGGGATAGGCATAAGGCTATCCTAACTATAAGATAAGACTAGGGACTAATGAAAGTATTTAGAAAATTGGGCAGACTAGATGGGCCGAATGGTTCTTATCTGCCGTCACATTCTATGTTTCTATGTTTCTATGCTTAGTTCCGGAAGACTCCCGCATTTTGGATACGGGTCCCTGATAACTCCAAATCAAACACAATATCCCGGAAATCACACACATAATTTGTGTGCTTTTAACGTGTGCATCTGTGTTTCAGTGTGTGTATCTGAGTGTATGTGTCAGTGCATGTATCTGTGTGTCAGTGTGTATGTGAGTGTATGTGTCAGTGTGTGTAACAGTGCCAGTGTGTGCACTCTCTGTGTGAATGTGTCAGTGCATGTATCTGTGTGTCAGTGTGTATCTGAGTGTATGTCAGTGTGTGTATCTGTGTGAATGTGTCAGTGTGTGTATCTGAGTGTATGCGTATCCTTTAGTGTTTTTAATGTGTGTATCTGTGTGTCAGTGTGTGCACTCTCTGTGTAAATGTGTCAGTACGTGTATCTGTGTGTGTGGCAGGCGGACATGGGCGTAGGAACCCAAAAAAATCTGGGGGGGATAGCATTTTTACTCGCCGGGTATATTCTTATTCCATAAAATGAGTTGTTTATCCCATTGCACAGCGCTACGGAATTTGCAGTTGCTATATAAATGATTAAATAATAACTTTAAAGGGTCACTACAGGGAAGGGATTTTACTTACCTGGATACAGCGCCGGGATCCTCCTGATGCTGCTCCCCCTATTTCGTCAAAATAACGAAATAGGAGGGTGCGAGCAGGGAGCAATAAAACGCTTCTATTCAGAAGCGTCATTGCTCTCTGGTGCACATGCGCAGCTTTGCCGCACATGCGCAGATACTTCATAGGGCGGCATTCATGTCTCGACTAGGAAGCACCTCTAGTGTTATTCCTCATCAGTGATGTAAATACTGCCTTTTTACGAAATGGGGGGGGGGGTGGCGGGGCTGGGGGGGGATTTCCCCATAACCTGTCCCCCCCACATGATTTGCTGGGGGGTGATGCGTCCCCCCCATCCCTCATGGTTCCTATGCCCATGCAGGCGGGGTGGGGGGGGTAGGGAAGGGATGTGCTCGGCGCAGTAGCTGGTGAAGCCACCAACATGAAATACATTTTTGCACCCTCTTGAACAAGTCAACCTCTCACGCATGCATCTCTGCATCCAAAATTCTCTCCGCTGTGTCTCTAATATTGACAAGTATAGATTGCAAGCTCGTTTGAGCAGGGTCCTCTTCAACCTATCGTTCCTGTAAGTTTTCTTGTAATTGTCCTATTTATAGTTACATCCCCCCTCTCATAATATTGTAAAGCGCTACAGAATCTGTTGGTGCTATATAAATGACAATAATAATAATAATAAGCTATTTATACCTTAGATTTTCAATTAGGTCATATTAGGACCTACATAAACTTGGCAAGGATACGAGACCATGAGTTGGTCATTTCACATAGGAACATCTTATCTATATCCTAAACAGTGATATACATGAGAATGTATCTAAATAAATAATCTTATCTACACCCTGTTCCAAATGATTATGCAAATTATATTTTTCATAGCAGCCATTGATGCAGAGGTATTCTTTGCAGCATGAGATGGTGCATTGTCATGCATTAAGATGATTTAATTACGGAAAGCATAGTTATTCCTTCTGTACCAGGGAAGAAAGTAGTCAGTCAGAAACTCCACATACTTTGCAGAGGTCATCTTTACACCTTCGGGACCCTAAAGGGGCCAACCAGCTCTCGTCCCATGATTCTGGCCCAAAACATAACTCCACCACCGCCTTGCTGACGTCACAGCCTTGTTAGAACAGGGTGGCCGTCCACCAACCATCCACTACTCCATCCATCTGGACCAATCAGGGTTGCACAGCACTCATCAGTGAACAGGACTGTTTGAAAATTAGTCTTCATGTATTTTTCTGCCCAATGCAGCCGTTTCTGCTTGTGAGCATTGGTTATTGGTGGCCGAATAGAAGGTTTATGCACAGTTGCAAGACTCTGGAGGACTCTACACCTTGATGTCCGTGGGACTCCAGAGGCACCAGCAGCTTCAAATATCTGTTTGCTGCTATGTAATGGTATTTTAGCAGCTGCTCTCTTGATCCAATGCATGGATCTGGCAGAAATCTTCCTCAATGTTCCTTTATCGGCACGAACACGTCTGTGCTCTGAATCAGCCACAAATCTCTTAATAGTGCGATGATCACGCTTAAGTTTTCGTGAAATATTTAATGTTTTCATACCTCGGCAGCAGAGAGATCCTTTTTCTTCCCCATATTGCATGAAAATGGTGCTCTGCTTAATAATGTGGAACAACCTCCTTTACTAGTTTTTCCTTAAATTGGGCTCATCTGGCAATCTAATTATCACAGGTGTCCGAGATTGCTTTCAGTGATCAAAAGAGCCCTGAGACACAATACCATCCATGAGTTAAACTGAAAAACTAAATATTTAATCTTTGTGACACTTAAATAGAATTTGCATAATAATTTCGAACAGGGTGTATGTTTGGAGTAAATCTAAAGGTTGGACCTGACATGGGAAATTCCCTGACTTGAGGAATTCCACTAACCTAGGACAACATGGTGTCCTAAAGTCTGAAGAGCATATTCACTAAATATGGGTAAGAGGTAATTTATTAAAGAAACATTGTATGAAAAACAATATGTTCCATTTATAACAACTTTCAGTTTGCAAAATCTCTTAAAGACAAAATACACAGCTTTTTTTTGCAGACAGTGTTTAATCAAATTGCAAGATACTGATGTGCGCATGAATGGTGTCATCCTTCATTCCAGCTGTGTCAGGACAAAGCAAACTGCAATGTACTCTGCATGAATCGATGGTTGGTGAGTCCTTGCAAGACACCTCCTTTCATACTCTTTCTTCTATTTTGTCCAATGACAGTGGGTTGGAGGATGACACATCTTTGGGTCTCACAGGTAAGGGCAGAGGTTAAGATTTCTGAAAGAATTTCTGCTTAACCCTGTTCCATCTATTCTGTGCATGCACACTTGAATCTCAAGGCAAGATTTGGGAGCTTAAATATGTAAACGTCTTTGAGCTCTGTGCTGAGGCTTATTGGCTTCAGGTGAAAGCTGAGGATGGTACGGGCTCCAATAGGCTTAAACTAATTAAGACCTTTGACAAGCAGCAGTGCTGTTTTAGGGTCCTGGGGTTGCCATCTTTTAGAAAAGTACTACGAACAGGCTATTCTTCTCCTTAATACATGGGTTTTGGGGGGGCACAAGGTAGGAGTATGACTCTGACTTTATGCACCATATGGCCTTCAATCCTTTGTTCTCTTTTGGGACTCAGGATATTCAGCTTTGGCCAAACCTGGGTCGTGAAAAAAAAGCTCTATCATTTAGTTTAATCAGCCACTGAACACTCTCGCTGCTTTTTTGATCTTTAGATGAGGGTCGGGAGCGTTGGATTTTTCTGGGAATGTTGAAGACTCAGCATGCTCCTTGTAGCACGCTTGTAGGTACTGCAGGGTGAAACAGTAGGATTCTCCCACTCATTCTGCCTCCTCTCCAATGGCTTTCATGAGTGTCACCTGGATGGAGGTAACGCAGATTGACTTCTGTCCGGACTCCCCCAGCCTTACGGCCACACCACCCACTGATATAAAGATGTGCTGGGATGGTGAGGGAGATTAGATGTCCATTAAGGTCTTTTCCCCCAAAATTTAAAGGTAAAATAGCTATGCCTCCAGTTTGGCTATGTTGGTCTAAAATGTGAAATTCTATCTAAATTCACATTAAATTCTCACTTTAGTGAACAATCTTGTAAATATTTTTTCTTAAATATATATTTGCTATATGTCTATGATTTCCCTAATGAGTAGATGTTACAGTTAAGACCTCACAGGGTTAACTATCAGCAAGGTAAAGTTCACAATGACCAATTCCCCGCACCCTGTGAGCTAAAGAACAGATGAGTTTCAGTTTCATTTCTCTTTGCTGTTTTCCAGGATGGCGTCCACTGATCTGAGAGAAGAGTTAAACTGCTCCGTCTGTCTGAGTATTTACACGGATCCGGTAATGCTGAGCTGCGGACATAATTTCTGCCGGGTCTGTATTGGGAATGTGCTGGATACACAGGAGGGAGCTGGAGTTTATACCTGTCCTGATTGCAGAGCAGAGTTTCAGGAACGTCCTGTTCTGCAAAGGAACCTGAAGCTGTGTAACATTGCAGAGTGTTACCTTTCAGCACAGCCAGAAAAAGAAGATTCTGGGATATTCTGTACTTACTGCGTTCACACTCCTGTACCTGCAGCTAAGACATGTCTGCACTGTGAGGCTTCCCTGTGTGACGTCCACCTGAGTGTACATAGCAAGTCTGCAGAACATGTCTTAACTGATCCCATTTCTTCCCTGGAGAACAGAAAATGCTCCGTCCACAAGGAGCCTCTGAAATATTACTGCTCTCAGGATACTACCTGTGTCTGTACATCATGTATGATTCTAGGGGAACACAAGGGACATCAAGTTTGTACCCTGAGTGAGGCATCTGGGAAGGAGAAGGAGAAAATGAGAAATGTTTTGGAGAAACTGACCCTAAAGCTGGAGGAAACTAAGATAAACCTTCAGAACCTGCAGGAGCGCAAGAGCGAAGTACAAGATAAAGTTGCCGGGGTAACTGAGAGAGTCTCTGCTTTTTTTCGTGATATCAGGAAACAGCTGGAATCCCTAGAGAATCGAATCCAGAGTGAGATCTCACGGCAGGAAGAGCAGATCTCACTCGGAGTCTCGGATTTAATACAGCGACTGGAAATAAAGAAGGAGGATCTTACGAGGAAAATGGGTCACATTGAGGAGCTGTGTAACATGACAGACCCACTAACTGTCTTACAAGGATGGCAAGCAGACAGCGCTGACTTTAATGATACGGAGGATGATGAGGAGGCAGACGGAGATAATGACACACAAGCAGACAGCGCTAAATTTAATGATACAGATGACGAGGAGACAGATAGAGATAATGACACATCTTCTGCTGTAGGGGATCTGGATGAGGTTCTGGTCTCATTGACCTTGCAGCGTTCATTGAATGATGTCATCGATGATGTAATGATAATGAACGGACTCCATGTGCCGGTGGTTTCAGACCTATTATTAGATGTAAACACGGCTGCTAATGATGTATCTGTGTCAGAGGATTTAAAAACAATATCCACATCTAATGTAAAGCTGAACCGACCACAAAGATCTGAGAGATTTCTTAATTATCAGGCTTTTAGTAAAAGAACATTTTTGTCAGGGCGACATTAATGGGAAGTGGAGACCAGCGATACAGGACTTAGCAGGGTAGGATTATCTTATCCCAGCATAGAGAGAAAAGGCGGTAATTCCATTTTAGGGCATCATAATAAATCCTGGTGTTTGCACATGCATGAAAAAAACTATTCTGTGATACATGATTCCATACGATATCAGTTACTCCCTGCTCCTTCCTGCCATAGATTTGGGATATATCTGGACTATGAAGCTGTCCGTCTCTAATTCTATGAGCTGTGTGACCCAGTCAGACATTTATACACCTTCACTGCCGCCTTCACTGAGCCTCTACATGTTGGGTTTATGGTTTGGAATATTCGGTTTATGGTTTGGAAAGAAAGTTGGATTAGAATCAGTAACTATTTTTATATGTGTGAAATTCCTGCACGGCATCAAATCTTTGTCTGTAATTTTATCCAAATGATTTGTATTGTAAAAATCGATTTATCTTATTATAAATGTATTTATTTAATTGAGCCATTTAAAAAAAAAATCTACTGCACAACCTGTGTGTCCTAATTACTGCTATAAATAGATACAATTAATTATATCAGAACTTGTTTCCTGTACAATTTTGGATACAAGTTTACCGAGTTTGCAAAATACTTAAAATATGTTTATTGATAAAAGTGAAAAAAGAGTTTGCAGTTGGCATTCCTTCCTTTTTGACTTCTTGTGTAAATTAATTATTATGTCAGACAAACGTTAATTTGCATACGCACTAGCTTTTTTGGGGGTAAATCTGTATTTTTGCAGTGCGGTAATAAGAATACATGCTGAACCAGACACGTCGATAATAACAAACGTAGTCATAATATCAGTATAGAGGAACATGACACAGAGATGTTGCACAGTTTTTTTTTATTTTTTTTTTACTATTAGATAGGTACCGCAAGACATGTAGGCCAAATAGACACGCCTAAAGACAGAGACATAGAAGAACAACACAAACAGAATTATGTAGGAGTGTGCACACTATAATGTAGCAATAAAAAGAATAACAAAAACTTTTACCTTTTTGCTGTCAATCAAATTACACAGAAGAATTACTCCAAATAAGGGCAAATACAAATAAATATATGAATACTACATATAGGAACAAATCAGGGATTAAGAATAATAATAATTGGGAACAACACTTAACACTTAAAGTCACATAACAGAAAAAAATAGTGCCCCCTAAGGTCCAAAATAAAAATATACATACTAGTAATAACAAATATAAGAAAATTGAATCCAAATCAAATATTCAAAAAATAATTAAAGTCACCAAAACAACTTTATCTTAATTAAACAGTTTTGGTGTGTAGATCATGCCCCTACAGGCTCAATTCTCTGCCATATGGGAGTTAAATCAATTTGTTTATGCAGCCCTAGTCACACCTCTCTACATGTGACTCACACAACAATCCTAAACACTTCTAATGTTTACACTTCCTTTATTGCAAATTCTGTTTAATTTAGAATTTCATATCTCCTGCTCTGTTAATATTTTGCGAGACCCTGCATAAGACCCCAATGTGTGATTAAAGTTCAATTAACAGAACAGGATATAAAAATCTTTAAAGTAAGTTACATCTGAGTGAAAATAAAACCATTTTATTTTCATGCAGGCTGTGTCAGTCAGAGTCAGGGAGGTGTGGCTAGGGCTGCATAAACAAAAATGATTTAACTCCTAAATGGCAGAGAATTGAGCAATGAGACTTCAGAAACATAATCTATACACACAAACTGCTTCATTAAACTAAAGATTTTTTGGTTACGCTAGTGTCGGTTAAAGGACAATTCACAACGCTTAGAGGTACATATCAATTAAATAAGAGCCTCCTAGAGGCCACTAAATAAAATATACATATATGCAATCACAGAAGCATACTTACCAACCGAGGGTGCCCCCGTGATATTGTATCTCACAGATCCCTTTGCCTCTCCAGCTTCTCATTGTAACCACAGGGTGACACCGTATCCAAGCTATACACCCACCTGACCTCCTTCTACAAGAGAACCCTTTCCCTGTTACCACCTATGCAAACAGGAGGGACATGCTTGAGCAATTGATAGCGAAGCTGAGACACATTGTGACACATTTCATGGATATGCCTTGCCACTGGTTTGTCAGACTGTAAATTCCTAATGGATGTTCTATCCTATAGTGGAAGGCCACAGGGGTTCCCAGACGTTTGTGTTTAGGCATGCTCGTCTAATAAATTTAGGTTCTACCAGTAGGCCTTATTAACTAAGCTGCACATTGTATTTTTTCTTTTCCTAATAGAAGAAAGACAAATGTAGTCAGAATATTAATGATACAACCACCACCCCAGCGGAAGCTCCTTGAAACACATGAAAACAATACTTATGCTAACAGCACATTAATAGAAAAAACAATGATAGGCCCTATGAACTATGGACATGAAAAGAAAAAGAAAATTAAGCCATCGATGTTAAGCCTGTTGTATGTGGGGCCAGTAGACGGTTATGTTCTTGAGAGAGAGAGTCAGCGGAAGCCTGTGCAGGGGAAGGCCTCCATGTACAATGGCAAGAATATAGTGACAGTCCGCTCCCTGCATTGCTTCTGGGTTCTACCCCCTCCAGCTCCAAACGTCCATGGAAACTGCAGCCTCCATGGAAACTATGTCCACTGACCCCAGTCTTCAAGGCAATATCCGGGGCGTGATCCTGGTGTGGAATTTGCCAGCTGTGTGGACTCTGCCCAGGGTAAGACCAGAATGGGAGGAACAGGCCCTGGTTTCATCACAGAGCAAATGCAAATCAGCTGAGACGGCTTGCAAAGACCTTGCCTGGATCCATAGCCAAAACTGCACATAGATGTTGTCAAATGCGGACCAGGAGACCTACCTGAGTCTGGACACGTGATTCTACAGCGCTATGGGATTTGCGGGCCCTGTATAAATAATAAAATAATAATAATAATATACGACTACCTTGTTGAGAAATACCAGATTACAGGTGAGTGTCATGCACTGTAGTGGTGGAGACTGGAATAAGCCCCTCTGATCCAGAGGGCAGGAATTACAGGAACTGCTGGCCAACCAGGCAAATAAGCTCAGATGAGTAGGTAGGCCGCTTCTCCCAGTCAGGTCAATGCTAGGCCGCGGTTACTCTGGTGGTACGAGTCACGGAAAAGTGCCATTGGGTGCCTGATAGCTGCTATACACAGTTATGCCATTGCATACACGGACATACTTCTGTATTAGGGAGGATCGATAGGTGGGAGCAGCATTATGTAGAGATTTGAAAGCAAGAACCAGATTGGGCACTATATCTTAGAGGAAGCCAATGTAGTGACTGAAAGAGGGGTGAGGCGTGAGAGGTGCGGGCGGACAGGAAGATAAGCCTCGTTGTCGCATTCATTATGGACTGTAACTGCGCAAGTTGGGAGCACGTAAGACCACTGAGAAGCGGATTACAGTAGTCAAGGCGAGAAAGGACAGTGGAATGGACCAGCACCTTAGTCGCATTTGGCATTAAGTAGGGTCGGATGCGCGCAATGTTTTTGAGATGGAAGCGGCAGGATTTGGCGATAGACTGAACATGAGGCTTGAAGGAGAGGTCGGAGTCAAAGAGAACACCTAGGCAGCGAGCCTGTGTGGTGGAGCTGATGGTAGCAACATTGACTTGGAGGGAGACAGACACAGGAGTAACAACAATTTTACCACATGACAGGAGGCTTCGTATTTAGCATATCTCTCTTTACTAACTCCATACAGCAGTAAAGAAACACATAGAAAAAAAGAACCAATCACAGGAGAGCAGGATGTACATAAGGCAACGTGACCTCATCATTTCCTCTTTCTTTACTGCTCCATCAAGCAGACAGGTCAGAGTATTACTCTTCTCCATTACTTTATGTTTCTATTGCCTCTTTGAGGTTGTTTCTGTATTATATTTTTATATACTTTACTGTATGTTCTTGCTGTGCTTCTGTACTATGTGCAGCTGTGTTTTTTCTGTGTTATTTCATAGATATTATGTAGATTTAATGTTATCCTTATTTCATAACCTTTACTTGTGATTAATATCACTTGTAATTTATCAGTTTTATAGGCATTTCATCCTTTGTTTTGATAAGTATTATATATACTTTATATGTATTTAATAGATGTCATATGTATTTTATAACATGGATTTAATACATTTTATTATTGACTTAATAGGTTTTGTGTATAATTATGGTAGATGTACTCTATACCATATGTATCATGACTTTTCTGGCAATTTTCCTGGTCTTCTATACCTGGGGCATCTGGGGACCCTCTTTCCCTGCTTTCCTCCTTCCCCCTAGGATCTCATGGGGATTCTGGGTCTGGCTGGGGCTTAACCCCTTCCCTCCCGTCGGCTCCCACCGGCTCCAAGGCATTAACCCCTTCTTCCGGCCTATCCGTTCGGCCCCTTCCTCCTAAATCCTCAGGGAGATGGCCGGACTCACTGCCCTCGCTCTCTCAGGCTGCCCCCTACTGTACACCTGGTAATGTGCAGGATGCTTTCCAACATCCACTACCTTGGTGCAGGGCAGTCTGTGGGGCGACCACGAGGTAGCTCGAGCATGACTCGGCCGGCCATCTTTGATCCCGCGTCTACCGAGACTCCAGGGACCATGTTCCCCCTCCTTTACCCTCGGCGGCCATCTTTAATCTCGCGATATTATGGACGGCCGTTTTGCTACTTTTGCCCACCACAATTTCAGCGCTCAAGAGTAACATATACCTGGGCTGTCAGTTAGATTAGCTGCTCTTGGGCTCACGATTCTCTGACACGGACGTTGGACCCCTGGGTCCCAAGTTTGAATCCAGGCAAAGGTAAGTATTCTAACTGGCCTTTTATTTACAGATTTGAGTCATACTCGTGTATAGTGGTTTGAGGTACTGGAACCTTAAAGGGATATCACCCCCAAAAATCCCTTAAAGGGATAGCACCCTCAAATTCCTTAAAGATACCATTCTGGGACCCTTATAGGGAACTCCTTTAAAGGATACCACTCTGGAACTACTTAAAAGGGATACCAAATCCTTAAAGGGATACCACCCTTGAATTCCTTAAAGGGATAGCACCCTTGGACACAGACTATCAAGATGGTACTGTATAAGTACATATCAGTGATGGGAGATTTGAAGGGATATCACCTGGATCAGGGTTCAGGAATCTACAGCAACACTAAGTGACAGATACAGAATACCCTGCTGGGGTTATTACACATTACTGTCATTTATACAGACCCTGCTGGGGTTCACTGGCATTATTTACACTACAACAGATACCCTGCCGGTGTACCCCATATCACACACCCTGCTGGGGTTGTTTTGGTACTTTGAGACAATAAATTGCACACAATAAGTGCACACTACTGAATATCACACACCCTGCTGGGGTTGTTTTGATACTTTGAGACAATAAGTTGCACACAATAAATTTCACACTACTACACCCTGGTGGGGTCTGCATGGTGCATTGCACACAATGAAACGGATTGTGCTCTCATCCAGTCTGTTTTATTTGGCTGCAACCCACACTTGACGGGTACATACCCTGCGCACCTGAGGTGATCTCTGACTAGGTATACGCCAATCTATTCGGCAAAAAAGGGGACAGAGTCGCAAGCTTCAGTGCAGTATATTCCTCATGGCAGTGCATTAATTATTGATAGAGCTGTAGGACACTCTCTATCAGGCTGATGGTCAGCACTGATGGGTTCATACCCTGTGCAACTGGGGTGAGCCCCCTACAGCACTGCTGCTTCTACTCCTACCCCTCTCAACAGCAAGCTCAAGGATTGAAAATCCAAACTTCGAATCTGGGACCGGCACTTACAGGTTCAGACCCGGTGCTCTTGGGGTGAGACCCCTACGATAGGCGAGTCCAGGCCCGGACTGGCCATCGGGCACACCGGGCAAATGCCCGGTGGGCCCGAGGTGGCCATGGGCCGAGGCCGGCAGGGGAGGTCCCAGGATCTCCCCTGCCGGTCTATGCAGGGCCGGCACTATCCGAGCGCCGGCCCCGCTGTTTGCCATGGAGGGCCGGTGGGGAGATCAAAGATCTCCCTCACCGGCCCATTTAAATAGACCTGCGGCTGGGGAGGGAGAGGACCCGGCGGAGCTCTATCTTGTAGCTCCGCCCGGTTCCTCTCCATGGCAACGCCCCGATCTCGCGAGAGTGAACTCTCACCACTCACCACTGGACCACCAAGGATGATGTCACCGTGCCGGTCCCCCTCCTCCCAGCTACCACGTGCCTTTCCCCCCCTCCCAGGCTAAAGGTAAGGAGGGGGGGGGGGGGGGATATAATGCCTACTTTTTTTTTTTTTGTTTTGTTTATTTACCCCCCCACACACACACACATTTATACACAGCACTCACACATCACACTCTGCACTCTCACACATCACACTCTGCACTCACACACATCATACACAGCACTCTCACACACATCATACACAGCACTCTCACACATCACACTCAGCACTCTCACACTCACACTCAGCACTCTCACACACATCATACACAGCACTCTCACACACATCATACACAGCACTCTCACACACATCATACACAGCACTCTCACACACATCACACTCAGCACTCTCACACACATCACACTCAGCCACTCCTCACACACACACATCATACACAGCACTCTCACACTCCAGCTTCTCCTCACACATCGCCGCAGCACTCTCACACTCCGGCACACTCTCACACACATCATACACAGCACTCTCACACTCATCACACTTTCCAGCCTCTTACACACATCCTTTTTACAGCACTCTCACACACATCATACACAGCACTCTCACACTCTCACATCACACTCCAGCACTCCACACACATCATACACAGCACTCTCACACTCCCTTCACACTCAGCACACTCACACATCATACACAGCACACTCACACACATCATACACAGCACTCTCACACACATCATACACAGCACTCTCACACACATCACATCACACTCAGCACTCTCACACTCATCACACTCAGCACTCTCACACACATCATACACAGCACTCTCACACTCATCACACTCAGCACTCTCACACACATCATACACAGCACTCTCACACTCATCACACTCAGCACTCTCACAAACATCGTCCGGGAACAGGCATACAACCTGGGTATATGGACTCAAAAAAATGTTTCTGCTCCTCGCAGGAAACCCCAGTGTTGGCCTCTCCCATAGGATGCCCACAGCAGCACTCCTCCGCACTGACGGATGGTTGGTGGTACTGGGCGCCAAGATAGTCGGAACCCCAGGCACAAGGCACAAAGTTCCGAAAGGAACTTATTAGACATGCAAGGGTTCCACGGCTTTCATAAGGGCCCAAACCCCTAGGAGGGAGGTGGTATGCGATTACCTTTACAAGGGATTCTTTGGAACCAGTTGGCAACAGAGCCGGTCGTTGACCACTTCGGGACATTAGACCCGAGATCCGCTACCGCTGGCTCTATTACCCATATAGAGCGAAAGTCAACAAATGGTGCTCCAGATAAGCGGACAGAGAACACGGTACGCACAGATACCATCAATATACCTCCTACTACATCCACAGGGGATTTCACCACATCTAGGTGAAGGGCCCTCAATCCCGGGGAAGACCACTTTCACGTAGTCAACCGACTTGCGTTCAGGACCTAAAGACACGTCAGGACGGTTTCTTGCTTCCTGCTCGACCACCTTACCCAGTTTTCAGGGGACATCCTCTCCTTCCCGATCCAGTAGCTCGGAGCCTGGTGGGCCCTGATAAACTACAGAAAGAAGTAATGAATACAGGCGGGGAAGACTAGACACTCTCTTCCGGGAGAACCTCATTCAGATCACTCCAGAACCGAGAACCGTCTGGAACCTTTTGTAGAAGACTATTCGCTCAGAGGATTTGTAGACTATTCCACAACTTGGGAATATTCGTACGACTCTCCGCGGCACCACCGCGACCCTGTACATTGTATACCTAGACTTCTTGGTCCTATACTTCACAATACATGGATTGATAAAGAAGTACTAGATCGGCTGCACCCTACTGCAGGTAACCACAGATTAAGCGGTCAGGTTTCACATCCACCGCGATGGACCAACTCATGTTTTTCAGACAAAACGTAGGCTCCTTTGATCCCAGTCTTCTTCACAGAAGATCAACCAGTCTCCCGGGGGAGACACATCTCATAGGGGCCGACTGATTTGGATATTACCACTTGTCACAGTATAAGTCTTGGCACGATGGTGATCGCGCTCTGTCCGACCGGACCTCCCTGGAGGACTTATGCTTCTCATGCTTACAAGGTCTACAGTAATTATCGAGCAGGCGAGGATCTTCTCCTGCTACATTCATGAACAAACAATTCCTCACGGAGCCGTAGGGTACTCACTTCTTCTATTCCAGGAGGGTCAGCTACCTGGGGACCTGGACTCGCTTTGGAGGTTTCTTGGCAGGTCAGCGGACGATCGGAGGCTGCCGGGGACCTCTTGAGAATCTGGGAACCCAGACCCTACCCCTACATCTGGACATTCTCAGCCTGTCTGGTTCGGTCCTGCATCTTGATCCCTTATGTGAGGATGGAGACGGAACTGCAGCCGGTATCACTAACTTCAGTTCAAATAGACGAACGGCAACCGTTTGTGCAAAAGTCAATGTTAAAGTGCTGTTCGAATTGTCGAACAGCATTCGAATTGTCGAACGGTGTTTGACTCCACTCGAACGGCGTTCGACTCCAGTCGAATTAGTTGAAGTCTGGAGAAGGTAAAATTCAGCGGTATTTGTGCCGTCGCGTATCCGATTTGAGTTCCATGAACTCAACCTCAAAATACAGCTGAATGCGTTCGACTGCATTAAAATGGCCGCAGCCACGTGTTTGTTTGTCGAATGTCAGCCACTTCGACTACTTCGGCTCTTTGGCTGTATCCGAAGTGCCAGTTCAAAAGTGCAGCTCCTTTTTCATGGGATTTAAAGGGCCAGCAACAGTCTTTTAGCATCCAATCTGCACAAATTGAGTTTTTAAAGGGAAATACACCCCAGGGGCCATAGTCACAAGGCAAAAGGCTGGCCATCAGTCATCTCCAAGCACAAGTGGCGAAGGGCACTTCACATACATAGACAGACAGACAGACACACACACACAAGACACACATACATACAAAGACACATACATACATGCAAACAGACAGGCACACATACAGACAGACACATACACACACACATACAAACAAACAAACACACACACATATACAAAATGTTTAAGTCACCCTCCTGTTTCCTACCGTTTAGGTGCAGGAGGGTGACTTTCCCTGGGGTCAAGTGGTGGCTCAGGTTGATGGGAGTCAGAGTTCCCTCTCCTCCTCCCGCGCAGGCTCTCTGATAGCTGGGAGGAGTGACGGGCAGTCACTTCCTCCCAGCAGTGGGCCTGGTCGTGCTGTTAAATTACTGCAGCGCTGACCGGGCCCCCTGGAAATCCATACCCATCGGGTGACCCTAACAGCATGGGCCACTCGATGGGCCCCTTGAACGTCCGGCCCGGCGGTTTGCCGCGTGGGCCAGGGCCGCAAAAAATGGCCGCTGGGACCCATATATATACGCCACTGCAGAAAGTTGTCATTAATGGTACATTTTTAAGCTGGACAGAGATGACAAGTGATGTCCCTCAGGGTTCTGTTCTGAGACCCCTTCTATTTAACATGTTTATAAATGATTTTGAAAAAAGCATTGAAAGTCATGTGAGCAAGATTTTACTTTGAAATTTTACAGATGAAATTTAAAGTAAAAAATTTGCAAAGTTATGCACTTCGGTGTAAAGAATGCGCAAGCAACTTCTACCTTTAACCCCTTAAGAACGGCAGCCTTTTGGGGCAGCCATACACGCCAGCGGGTGGCATAGAATGTCCCCGCCGTCCAGGGTACTTACTGTGTCCCCGCCATTCCCCCGATCTTACTGTATTCAAGCCTGAAGCTGTAGATCTGCATGCTGTTTGACTCAGAAAAACAAGCAGTCTGCTGACATCATCAGAAGTGGTAGCCTGATCCAATCACAGTGCTTCCCCATAGGATTGGCTGAGACTGACAAAGAGGCAGATCAGGGGCAGAGCCAGCATGATTCAAACACAGCCCTGGCCAATCAGCATCTCCTCATAGCGATGAATTGAATCAATGAATCTCTATGAGGAAAGTTCAGTGTCTGAATACAGAGGGAGGAGATACTGAATGTTTGGATGCATTTTAGGCAGCCATGACCCTAGAAGGATCTCTAACAGCCATCTGAGGAGTGGCCAGTGAAGTTATTACTAGGCTGTAATGTAAAGACTGCATTTTCTCTGACAGACAGTGTTTACAGCAAAAAGCCTGCGGGTAATGATTCTACTCACCAGAACAAATTCAATAAGCTGTAGTTGTTCTGGTAGCTATAGTGTCCCTTTAAAATGCCATGCAGTACTAAAAAAATAACAAAATGTCTTATTTTTTTCACATTTTCTTATATTTTATTCATATTAAATTATGCTTAATATACAAATGTTTGATGGGACATGAAATTCCAGTTTCTCCTGAACAAAACAATATATGACAAGTGTGGGTACACATAATATGAAACAGGTGAATTACACCTGAACAGACATATAGTGCAAATTCAAGGTTTTGTTTACGTTTTGATTTGATCACAACTTGTACAATTGCCTCGGTCCTTAACCTGTTAAGACCGGAGGGCGTACAATTACGCCCTATTTTAGGCGGCTCTAAACGCCGCCGGGCGTAATTGTACGCCCTC